TGTGTGAAAAAGTAATGTTGATCCAGATATGGGAAAGGTTATGGCTATGAAAATATGAAAAGGATGAGTGAACGTACTATAGTACTAAATCTGAGATCTAGACTCTTGGTTTTTCGATTGTTCCGGATTTGGAATTTTTCAGGATATTAGATCATTACTTGAAATCTGGTAAGATGACATGTAGGAATTATAAAATAAAAAATATGAAATAGTGGTTTATGAAATAAATGAAGCATTTATGACCTTGAATGAATTAAAATTTACAAAATGCTCAGTATTCAGTTTGCTTTATTAAAATTTTTTGTTCAATGAAAATTGCTTTTCTTTTTATGCTTATACTTTCTGTTTAATTCTATAGATAGACACAATTTTTTGTTCAGTTACAATTAATTGAAGTGTTGAGAATTTCTACTAAATTGTGAATCGAAATTTTTTTGTTCTCAGCAACCTCTTTGTTACTTTCTTCTCTATAGCAATATGTTTCAGATGTAGAACCATGCTACAGATTTCACCATTAGTTCATTGTGATTGTAACAAAAAATTCTCTTGTGAATGCAAATGAAGCACATTCTACACAGAAAGGTCACAGGAAAGATGAAGTGATTGTAAAGCAGTGCTGTCTTCCAGCTGGTAGAGTAGTTAGTGATGCTGATTATCATAATGATGGATCCAGGTTTGAATCCTGAAGAAGCCATGGCTATTTGTGAGCATATAGTGTCTGAGTGGCAAGGTGACAATCAAAATACAGAGCAAGCTGAAAGTTTTCTTGAGAGGTTAATGGTAGGGGAAGAGGGGTGGGAGACTGTCGTACTGCCTCAAATTTTGAGTAGAAGTTAGATAGATTTAGCAATACCTCAATCACTTACAGTACTTCAGAGGTGCTGGTCTGCCTTCTGTTTGTATCTGTTAAGCAGTGCTGTCAATGCAAGATATTTAAATATAAAATGCGGCTGATTTTCCTGTAAAGCAACCAAAGTGCTTTGTGGCATTCAACAATCATGATGCCATTTGCCAGAGAAAATTAAACTAACAAAAAGTATGGTAACCTTTTATTGAGTTACTATGCCAGGAGAACTACATCATAAAGTGGTTGGCTGAGTTAGCTGTTAAGAGCTAGCAGAAATTCAGCACCTCCTTATGCGAGTTTTTCAAATTAAAATGCCAGTGCCACCAACCTCTAGAGATTAATTCAAAAATATAAAACATTTGGCAGCTCAGAAATGGACAAGGACATTGGATTAAAGGATTGTCTTTTCTAATTAATTCCTTTATTTAAAGGATTTTACTTTCCAAAAAAGGATGGTTAGCAGTCGTACTTGCAATGTACATTTAATTCTAGCAGTAATATTTTTTGTTTTGCTGAGGTGCAAAAAATCCATAAACTGAAGACTACAGTCAAAAGTCGTTAATCCGGACTCGTTGGGACTTCGGCGATTCCGGATTATCGATTTTTCCGGATTATAGATCATCAGTTTAAATCTGGTAAGTTGGCAAGCAGAAATTACAAAATTAAAAATATGAAACCGTAATTTATGAAATAAAGAACAATTATGATTTAAAGGGTATCAAAATTTACAAAAAGAAAAAGCTTAATATTTATTTGTTTACTTTGTTAAACATTTCTTTCAATGTAAGTTGTTTAAGTTGCTTCGTTTCATGTGATAATACTTTCTCTTTAATTCTATTAAACAGACATAATTTCTTGTTTAGTTACAAAGTTCCGCTGTTCAAGTCCTATAATTGCTGTGTCGAGAATACCGACTAATTTGTCAATTGAAATTTTTTAGTTTTCAATAACCTCTGTCACTTTCTTCGCTATCGGAAGCGAATTATAATGACGAGGAACTTGTTTTAAATCATATCAAAGATGGAGTACATCGAGATGAAATACTACATTTAGTAAGGAATTATAAGCTAAATAAAATAAAAACATCTGCCCTGAAGATAAGGATAGTGCTGACAGATCAACATCCAATTCATTGCATGCCGCGGCGTTCCCCCCGCCGAGCAGTGTGAAATTGATAAACAGATTTCGGATTTCAAAACATACTTTTGCTTTAGATCCTTTACATATTAGCAAATATATATCGGAAATTCTATTTGATATAATCGAAATTTCAAGCTTACTTTTATAAAATTGCTCTAACAGTCTGCAAAAAATAATAAGCCGGACCCAATTCGAAGATTAAGGAACAACGCAATCTGCAACATTAACTGAATTAGATAATTTTAGCTTAGCTTATACCATCCGTTATACATTAAATGCACATGCGTAAACATTTTATGCACACGCATATTCGCAGCCATAAAGGTCTTACGCGCTCACGTAAACGCCTATGCGCATGCTTCAAAGCGACGCATGTGAAGAAAGTTTGTAGCTTTGAGGACCAGATTATAGATCATTCCGGATTATGGGTGTCCGAATTAACGAGTTTAAAAAGCCAGCTTTATGAAGGGTTACAGAAGTTGATTGTAAGTGCTGATAGAAGGTGTTTAAAATTTCGTACTATTTGTTTTCAAGACATACGTGTTTCTATGACTTCCAGAAGACGAATGGAAGATTCTGAGTGCTGGCGTGCTGTGGGGCGCATTGAAGCAGGATAGTCGATCACAGATGTTGCTCTTTTCTTTGGCATTCATCATTCTGCAATTTCATGTTTAAGGAAACAATTCCAAGCCCCACAGACAGTTGTCCGAAGGCCCGTAGCCAGTCGTCCAAGAGGTTCCAACCCACGCGGAAGATAGATATATTGCTATTGTAGCCAAGCGGAATCGCAGAGCAACCTCCACACGTGTGACATCTATGGTTACAGCGTCCATTAATATGGCGCTATCTGCAGCTACTGTACGGTGAAGATTACATATGAGTGGACTGTACACCCGGGTACCTCGAGTTTGTATTCCTCTATCCATCCAAGAGGGGCATGATTACAGTGGTGCCGGGAGCATGTCAATTGGAATGTGTCTGACTGGGGCAATGTCATGTTTACTGATAAGTCAAGATTTGCTCTGGAGCCAGATGACAAGCGTATAAGGATTGGCGTGAACAACAAACACACAATCAGTCCCAAAACATCACGCATTGCGAGGTGGAAGCATTATGGTGTGGGCAGGGATTTCATTAGGATATCGCACCAACCTGCACATCTTTAAACCGGGTTCTTTGACCGCTGTCCAGTATCGAGATGAAGTCCTAGAACCCATTATGAGATTGTACGCTGCAGCAGTTGGCCCTACTTTTGTTTTAATGGACGATAGCGCATGCCCCCATAGAGCTGACATCGTCGATGACTACTGGAGAGGGAAGGGGATTGCGCGTATGGCGTGGCGCATATTGCATGATCTTAATTCCATGAAAATCTTTGCGATGCTCTCGGCGTGCTGTATCTTCACATTTCCCCTCCACCACTCTGTGAGCTGGAAAATGCTCTACAAGAAGAATGGCGATTGCTTAATCTTCAGCGGTTGACCACCTAATTGAAAGCATGGTCACAAGGTGTAAACTTGTATAAGATGGGGAGGTCACGTTACCCTATATTAATGTCCTTTTTTTTTTCATTTTAGCTCTTTATTTACTTTATACATAATTATGTTTAAGTCTCCAGTATGTCATTATCTGATAACTTACAAAAATTTAATATTGTTATTTCTGTATATAAAATTGATTTTGTTGTATGCGTAAATATATATGCTCTTTCCTGCCAAATTTGTGTCAATCAAAGAGTTTGTTGATTTGGAAATACTCTGATATGCGCCCAGGCGCAAATATTTTTGGGAGAAACTCCAACCTGCCATATGCTATCTAAATTTTTTGTCTCATTTGAACTTTAAGCCTAAAATGTCTCTTAAAAACACGGTTTTGCGAATGCAAAAAAAAAGTTTTGAACAACATAGCTAAAAATCTGAAACAAAACAAAAAATTTAGATAGCAAAAACCGTGAAATTTCTAACCAAAATTATTTTACAAGAGTTTTGTTTAATTTAAAAAAACATCTACGAATGGCACAATCTAGGCAACGAACGAATTTACGAACTATGCACACCTCGCTTTTAATAAATTAACATAACAATAATTTCAAAGAATACCATGTACACAGCATCAGGTTTCAACTTAAAAAAACATCTACGAATTGCACAATTTAGGCAACGAACGAATTACGAACTACGCGCATCCACTAATGAAATTAACATAACAACAATAAATTCAAAGAATACCATGTACACAGCGTCCTGTTTCAACATAAAAATCATCTACGAATTGCAATTTAGATGGTACGCACTAATCAACAAAATAAGTAATATAAGTTTCAAACAATTCCAAAAAACATCAATAACTCTACATTCTACAAAATAAAAACAAGAATAAAATAAAATGCACTAACCGTGAATTAATCCTTTTTCGACCAGCAGAAATACCAATTTCATACCACCATTAACATGCCGCCATGTAATCTCTATCGTATTTATATGACAGCCAGACATGCTATCCAGAAAATTCATACTATGGTTCACAAATAAATAAAATAACAATTAATCACAAATCCCTACTTCTATCACGCACATCCACTAAAATAATCTCCCATACCTTCTTTCCACACCTCAAATACCATTGCCCTCAAAGGATGACCACGAGATATTTCCTTATGGAACTTCAATTCAACAACTTTACCATTAAATCTTCCCCCCCTAGCTTCTCAGACACAAAGCATGACGGGAACCAACGGAACCCAGCGAAAGACTTTTTCAACGTCAACAGGGTTGCCATACAACACGCAATCGCGCCAAAAACCAGCCCAGAACACATATTGCCACATTTAGTGAAATTAGGGTATCAGAGTTGTACCGTTGATTTTTTGCATTTTACATCTTCGTGCTTAACTTTTGGAACTAAGTATATATAGGTTAGAGTTATCAGGATAATCATTATTAGGATATTTATCATGGATAATATCTTTTTTAATTTCATCTTTTTTTTTTTTTTTTTCTTTTTTCTTTCACAGAAAGTGTACAGAAACTTAAGGAGAAGGTTAAAAAACGAAAGGGCAGAGGATTTGGTGGAGGTAAGTACGAACATATTTATTAATTCTTGTAAAATAGGCATTTAAATCTTCTATGGAACCAGAAATTATCACATCTTAAGTATTTGGTTTTCTTGGTAATTGTACATGGTGATTAGAGTTCAACAATAATGTTTTCAATATGGAAGTTCTAAGTTGTAGATTGAGTTTATAACCCAGCAAAGTCTTTACCTTAAAAGAGTATAAAACTGTATAGAACAATAAGTATAAAATGCGTTTTTGAATAATTTTAAAATTATTTTTGCAAATAAATTTCCTTCGAAAGTAAAATGATAATTGAGTAATAATTTAGTGTGACACAAAGATTGTTTCATGTGTATTTTGCTCTTTGAAACCAGATGTGATGCAAGAATTGAAAGTGTCAAATCTGTTAGGTAGAAATTTAAGAATATGTTGCGTGCCTTAGTAACTTAATGTAAAAGTTTTTTTAAAGGCAACCGTATTGATTTTATTAACATATCTAGTCAAATAAAAGAAATCTAACATTTAAGATTTCTTTACTGCTGTTATCCGGCAGAACATTCTTTTTAAAGACTAATGCTCCTAAAGCAGTTCAGTAGGAATACATATAGTTAGATATTACAGTGCAATTTACACATCCAGTGTTAGGTATCATTGTAACAATTCTGGATCAACAGTTTTAAAAAAGCTGAGGAAAAAGTAGGGAGATATATAGAGTAGGAAAAAATTCTTTTTTTTATCAAGCTTGGATAATGTGACAAGAACTCAGGAGCGCTTCTGATGGATTATTGATAAAATAAATATGATTTTAGATTTCATTTTATCAATCATAATAATAATCAAGAGAATGAACAGTATTTTTTTTTTTTTTTACTCCTTATATATTACAATATTAAAAGAGATTTGCTATGATAAAATATCTGTACATGCATGTAGATAATGTAGTAAAAGTAGTATATGCTAATTATGAAAAATTAATAAAAGTGTATGCACAGATGGAACTGCCAGAGAAGATCTTCAAGATTATGAAGCCATGGATCATGATGGTACTGATGAGCCTGGTCCTCAGCGCTGTAAGACTTTTCATTTTTCAAAATTTTTATCAAGCTGCATAATTTTTTAAAAATTAAAAGTGTTTAGGAATTTAAAGTAGTAGTTAATAGTATAAGTTTCTATTACAGTAGATGCTGTTTAATGTGACTCGGGTAAAGTTATTCAGATAGTGTTATTGAATGGAAGTCCTGGCCATTTATATATGGAAACATGTATCAACATTTCAATTAATATAATTCAAATATTATAGAATATATTGTCACCAAATAAAGGCAAAATAGATTATAAAATTGCCAAGTCACAGAGTAATATCTTCAAGTAAGAATTTAATTTGCCACATAACTTGGCTTTGATTTCAGTCAACCATTTAAAAGTAGCAAAAAAGCAGCTGTTGTTTAATGAAGATGTTGAATAACTCTTGTCAGTTTTGAGGGTGATCAGACCCCCTAAGTTCCCTTTCCTTCAAAAATGAAAAAAATTTCATAAAATGTCTTTTCTTTTTCTATTTTCTCTCCTGGTGGAAAAAATTCTCTGAAAACATCTATGCCAAACTAAGTTTAGCATGTTCTTTTTCAATGATGGATGTCTTCCGAGTACAGTATAAGTTCTGAAATCTGCAACGCTTGGGACCAGAGGTTGTGCGGATTTTAGGATTTTGCAGATTTCAGGACAGAAAAGATAATATTCAGACTAAAAGTGCAAAATAAATAAGACGTATTAGATACATTTAATTAAATTATTATATACATTAATACAATAATCGATTATATGCATTAAATTATTATTACATATATAAACTGATTATATTATATTATTCATTTAAATTAGGCTTCTCTATTTTTAAATCAGCATGAATCTGCTTGTCCTTTTCTCTCAGGAGTAGTCCTGAAATAGGTACCCCATCACTTCGCCGCTGCCGAACCCCTCGCACAAGACAGCATTGAGGTTTGCCGATTTCGCCTCATGTATTAAGATTAGTGATACAGCATTGCTCAAATAATTTCCAGATACATTATGAACAGTTCATAAACAAACTTTTGCATTTTCTTAATTAAAGGTCCCTGAAGCTGTTTATATGCTTCTAGTTATATTTTTATTAAATTACTTAAATTCATTGCTATTTTGAAGAGTATTTTATTGTATCATTTAATATTATTATGTGGTTAATGTTATCAGAATAGCCATAGACAAACATGGTCACATTAAGTGGCTCCTACTGTAAATGTTCAGAATAAATTACTGATCAATCAGAACGATACAAGTGAAGATAACAATTTAAGTTACTTTCTGAATATCCATGATTCCCCTGAAAAGTATTAAAGAAACAACGCACTGTGTCACCAACGTAGGCTATTTCTAAAATCACCAATATGTATTTTGCAGCACACAGATGGCAGCCATTAGTGTTTTTGTGTTGCATTGATGGCAGTCATTAGTGTTTGTTGTGTTAGGAATTGTAATCGGATTGTGGAGTTTACCAGTTGATGAAAAAGAAAGACTGCTGTGTACATAGGCAGAACAGTGAAAAAAGGAGAGAGCATGAACATTATGCTATGGATGTTTCTTTACATTTTCAATTTTGTTAATTGGCTGATGATTAATGCAATCTTTAGTGCACCACCATTTTTGAAAATGGCTCTTGTCATTCACACTTCTTTTCATTAGTTTAGTAAAAAATTAGTTGTTAACAGTTGTTGACCTTTTGAAAGGGGGTGAGGAGGTAACCAGTAAGTACTTAATTTAAATAGTTATTACATAATATATTATCAAAATTTTATGGCTAACATGTATCAAAATTTATTAAAGGATCTTATAATTAAAAAAAAATTAAGGGCTTCTAATTTTTTTAATGATTAATTTGTGAAAAAAAGGTATTTGTCTATGTTTTTACAATATGGAATGCTGTATAAAGGTAGAGTCTTTATTTTATCTTAAAATTCTTTTAAATTGTATGCATTGTCTTTTCCTTCAGAAAGATTTTATTTAAAATTAAGTAGTTTCTATGGTTGTTTTAATTATTTTTATCTAGAATTCCATCCAGGGAATTTTATTGATAACAATAACTATTACTAAAATACATCTTCTAATAATTAACCATTTTATGTATACTTTGATTATTTAATAAGCCTTTGAAATAAAAAAGTGACTTAAATCCTTTTAAATATAGCAATATTATATTGAATAAATAATTTGTAAATATCAGAGTTGCCAGCTGTCCCGATTTAGGCGGGAGATACTCGATTTCCAACCATTTCCCCACCAACCTGATTTACAACATATTTCTCCCAAGTTTGTCATATTTAAAAAATTTTTTGCATTTTTTATGTAGTTTGGCTTACCCCTTCCCCCCCAAAATTATTTTACTCATTTGAAAGAACTTGTTTTTCCTGTGGATTACATATAAAATCATTTGATCAGTGAGAAATTATGGCACACTACTACTTGAGTGAGAGCATGTGTGTCTGAAAACATCGTATTCCAGTTCTCCAGCGAGCATCGAGAAACACTGCATGTCATCTGGCATATTTTAGCCAGTGAGCTCAAACCAAAATCAAAGTTGTTATTTCGTTCATCTTATCACTGAGTGATATGAGTGTATGTACTTTCAAGAAAGAGTTTAAGAAATCATGATCTTTTATTTTAGTTTTGTTTGCATAAAATGTAAAATACCAGATTGTATAAAATGTGAAATACTTGTGTATTTTTTAAAAATCTTACGCAGTTTCTCTCCTTCTATCATTTCCTCAAGAAAATATAATACATTTGTGATGTGTAGAGATTCTCATTGAGATTTTTGGATTTCCCATGGTGGAAGGACCAATGTTCTCAAATATGTGCATATACAGAAACACAAGGACAACATGAGTTCTCTTGAAAAAAAAATCCGATTTTAACATCACATGAAATCGCAGAATATTAAATTATATGCAGTTTTTGCTGCATTTCATTTAAACGCATTTCCTTGAATTTCATTAGAGATAGATTTCTCATTCAATTAATTCAGGTCTCACTTTGCGGCAAGGCAAAAATATGTAATTAAATGTTATTATATTTTACACCAGAATATAAATAATTAAATAATCTGAGTCATTCTTATAAATTCAATTTTAGTCAATTTAAAGTTCTTTTGAAATGCCATTATTTTGCAGTTCAAAAACTTCCCAGAAAATTATGGTTTTCTTGAGGGAATCTTCCAATTTTTCGTATTTTAACAGGTTGACGCCAGCATGACCCACTGGTGGCCCATGCTTGTCTGTTCCATGGGGCGGCTTGACCCACCAGTGGCCCATGCTAGATTGTTCCGTGGGGCGGCTTGCATCACCGATGGGCCACGTTTGTATATAAAAAAATACATAGTACAAAATGTAATTTTATTGATTTAACATTATACATTAACATTTCTACCTTATAAGCAAACATTTAACACAAAATATATAACTTATATTAATCAATACATAAATATACAAAATATAAACTACTTATGTTACCGATGCAATTTTTTAAACTTTTAAAGTGTCGGCTTATCCGGACAACTGCTACAAAAGGTCATACTTTTTTTGTGTTTGTTGTTGTGTACTGTGTACCTTTAAATGTTAAGCGTTTTTAAACACCTTTACATCTTTTTCATCTTCCTCACGGACTTTGGTGTGAACGTAATGTTTTTCCGGCTACTTACTATTAATTCTTCACTAGGGAGATTCTCAACACTTTCAATAGATAATCAGTCATTTTTTCTCTAAATTTAAATTGGTAAGCTTTGGTTACCCACTTTGTGGACATACCATGCATTTACTAAAGAGGTCCCGCATATTAGCTCCATGACAACTTTTCGATACCATTTCACCGTTTTCTGTAAACATTTATAATAGGAACACATTTGGTCAGATATATCAACTCCTTTTTTCGCACTATTGTAAGAGAAAAGGGTATCTGGTTTTAATTTATCATCTTTTCCACAAATAATGGCCCAGTTGTGAGATCTTGAAGTGGTTAACAAGCACAGGGGTCTTTTGTCGGTCCACTTAAAAAAATTTCATGCCTCTCCAATTTTCAAGAGATGTTGCCCCATTTCTGTTTTTGCTTTGCTTGAGGCGGTAGAAATTTTCTATTCATTTTGACTGTACCGCAAAATATATGTTCTTTTAGTGAGAAGATCTTCGGCTAAAGGAATACTAGTATAAAAACTGTCGGTAAATAAAATCCGGTCCTTAACTAATAGATCTCCTATCAGTTTCACGACTACATCATGAGAATGTGATTTTACAATTCTTGTTTAATTTTTTCCGGAATAAATATGCATATTGTATGTATATCCGCCCGGAAAGCAGAGTTTGTACAGTTTTATTCTGTACTTGTGCTGCTTACCTGGTATATATTGATGAAAACTAAGGCGTCATTTCCACAGAACCATGCTTTCGTCAATTACTATATTTTTTCCAGGTTTTACTGCATCTTTGAATGTACGAAGAATTTTATCAACTACATTTTGGCGTTCATGTAACCGATCCTCAGTTCTAGCCATTTCATTATCGGGAAAGTGCAAGTATTTCAATATTGCTAAGAATCGATCGCATTTTATTGCTTTCTGTATACACACATTCGCATACATTCCCTTTTTGGACCAATATAGTTGAATTTCGGGTACCTGCACTACACCCATAATAAGCAAGATACCAATAAAGGTATTCGATTCACTTTTTGTAATGGAGTTCCATGCTTGTTGATGTTGTCTGTTGTGAAGAAATTGTGCTCAGATAATTCGTAATGTCAGAACTCTACTGACTGCCCACCTCACAGGCACTTCACACAGAATACTTGCACACTAACAGTACTCTTTCTCTCTTGCCATCAACTCTTAGTAAAACTCACATCGTCGTCTAAATGTTCGATTAGGGTCCCTCATTACTAGGTCAAGCACTATACAGGGTGTTTCATAGATCATGGGACAAACTTGAAGGAGTGGTGGAGCATACTAAAACATGCATTTTTTGTATAGGAATGTAGGGTCTAAAGTTAAGGAATGAAAAAAAAAAAAAGGAACGAGAGAAAATGTTGTTTATGTAAATCAATGCAAGTGCTTTTTGCAGCATACATATTCAAATAAATTTCAAAAAGGGAACACTAACAGTAATAGGAACTGAAGCGGTAGTGAGCCGGACAAACTACGATCCGATGCATCAGAGGATCATTTGCAACTGTGATGTCGAGCGTGATGGGTGAGTTCATTCACAGGGAAAAAAGCTGACATGCTCTCATGTCGGTGTTGCTATAGGAATGGCAGAGCAGCTCTACGGTTGTACCAAGAACGGTTTCCGAACAGCGTTATGCCCGAAGCACATAATGTTCGACAGGTTTCATCATCTCGTGTGAAAAAGGTCATTTGGAGCCACTCTACCTAGGAGGGTAGAGAAGTGATGACAACCTCGAAGAATTCATCTTAACATTGTGCATGAAAACTCAGACAAGTACAAGAGCTATTTCCGTCATCTGCAGCTGAGTCATTCCACCATTGGAGAGTATTGCATGAAAATGGTTTGCACTCATATACCCACTTCGAGTTCATTTCTGTCATTGGTTCTTTCAGCAGTGTGCGGCGCAGGTGGATTTCCCATTGGATGTGCTATTCACTGACGAGGAAACCTTTTTACTGGACAGCATCTTCAATAGCCACAACATGCACGTGTGGGCAACTCATAATCCACACGGCGCACGCCCACATGCATTCCAAACCCGCTTCTCCATGAATGTGTGGGTGAGTATTGTTAACGACTACCTCATAGGCCCATACCTCTTACCTGCACTTACAAATGGCTTATATTATCATATTTTTCTGCAAGAGGTGCTGCTGGAATTGCTGCACGGTGTTCCGGCTGTCGTTCGTTATTGCATGTGGTTCCAGCATGATGGTACACCAGCCCATAAACACGTGCGGGTCCACAGTTACTTGGATGGGACATTTCTGGGCCGATAGGTTGGCCGTGGTGGACCTGTTCGATGGCCACGCCATTCGCCAGATTTATCTAGCTTGGATTTTTTTTAATGGAGCCATATGAAAAGCATCATTTACGAGACTCCCACTGACTCACTGGAGGACCTCGTTGCACGACTATCCATTGTGGTTGCAAGCGTGCGCGAAATGCCTGTCGTTTTTCAAAATGTTCGTCAATCACTTGTGCGACGTTACCAAGCATGTATTACTGCTGGTGGTCGCAATGTTAAACATTTATTGTGAATACTGTAATGCTACAAAGAAGCAATTTCCGTTGATTTTGTACATAAACACATTTTCCTCTTGTGTCGTTTTTTTTGTTGTTGTTGTGTTCCTGCCTTAACCCGTGACTTTAGACCCTACATTCCTATAAAAAAAATGCATGTTTTAGTATATTCCACCACCCCTCCAAGTTTGCCTCATGATCTATGAAACACCCTGTATATTCAAAAATTGTCGACTGGGGTGTATTCATTTCCCCAAAAAGTCACAGATTTTCTCCACTATGCATGGGCGGTCCTGTACTTCTAACTCCAAGGCCTGTGATTTTCCAAATGAAAAACAAGCCAATCTCTGTAAAACTACACGACAGTCCTCGGCCACTTAGCCCGGCAATATATATCTTTTGTCGGCAGCCCAGGAAAGCAAATACTATTGGGGCCGAGTGCCTGGCCGCCTGAAAATCGTCAGTCGTAGGTTCGACAAAATTGCCGCTCGCACTCAACATAATTCACGACAAACGCACGACTATTTCTTTTTCCTAGTGTGACATTGACCATATGCATTGTTTGCCCATCGACCGGGCTTAAAGCCATAAATACGAATAAGGGTTTTTCCCAATTTATGCGACTGGCTACTGTGGGCCCTATCGGCAGGCCAGACCACGTGCAGGGCCACGTGAGAATTTTGGAAATTCGGTCTATTTGAATCAGCTAGTGGGTATTAGGGCGCAAGCATTAAACAGTATAATTTGGACTGCTAGTTGAAGCGTCGCTGCACGGAACGGATCGAGAATATCCGAGCCGGCGTCAGCGTGTTAAGGTTGTCAACTATAATACTGACACTGGTAGTATGAAGAAATTTAAATAATTTGAGATGAAGAATTTTTGCACATTAAATTTTTATTTTTAATTCATTTTTATACCTTCCTAACTTTTGTATGTAATTTCATATAAGCTTTTGATAACTGTAAGATGCCACATAATAGCCTATTATTTTAACAAGATTTCTGGTCTCAGAATGTACAGAAATTTAAATGCAGATATGTTCAATAGGAAAAAAATTGATATTTCTGTTATTTTACAAATATATTCTTATTTTTTCTGTTTTATAGCCATTGAAGGGTGGATTTTATTTATCACAGGAGTTAATGAAGAGGCACAGGAAGATGATATTTATGAAAAATTTTCTGAGCATGGTGATATAAAAAACCTTCATTTGAATCTTGATCGACGGACTGGATTTTTAAAAGTTAGTATTATAATAATTACAAATGAGAAAAAATATTCAAATTAAACAAAAACCTTAAAATATCAGTATTGTAAGTTTTTTTCTTTAGTAAGTATTGTAACTAATTATACTAATATAATACTGTAAGTATAGTTTATTAAGTCATGTCTTAGTAATGTTAAGTTTACTTTTTTTTTTAAGTATTTGTATTCGAAGTTCTTTCTCTCTCTCTCTTTTTAACATTAACTAATATTAAATTCATCCTAGAAATAGGAGGAATTGAATATTAGTTAATGTTTTATAAATGAATTTCAAGTAAATCAGAAATTTAATTTAAAATGGTTATAATTTTCTTATTTTAATTTTGTTTTACTATTTTATTGAAGAAGTATTAAATTATATAAATTTTACTTACTTTATAGGAAATAACTGATAATCTCATTTTGTTTTAATTATAGGAGATATCTAATAATAAATTCCTTATAGCGTACAATTCTTTACCAATATTCATTATAAGAGTATAATTTTAGATAAACTAAATACAAAGGTGTAGAAATACACTGCAGTGTGTCATCTTATCTGCAGGTAATCCTTTCCAAGACCATAGGGTACAAGAAATTGTGAGTAATGTTGAATGTTAAATGTGATGCATATTCATGGGGCACAACTTATTAAGTGAAATAAATTACATTGAAGAAATATTACCATCATTATATAAAGTAATAGTATAACAGTTTGGGGCCCACCAATGGCTGAGTAGTAAAGTCGCTGAACATTGGTATTTCAGTCCAAAGTTCAGCCCAGTAAATGGCATGGCAGCAAATACTGCATGGACATTTTCATGATTTTCCATATGTATAAAATCTATGCGAGCCAGTTTCCCTTAGAAAGTCCTTCACGAAGGCATTCCTCTCTCAAGGCAAATAGCTCTCGAGTGCTTTGCTGTAATCAAGTAAACTTGATGCATAATGATTTGTGCATTTTCTCTTTTCCAGTAAATGTATTTTGATGATTTTATCTAATTGTCAAGAAAAGGTAAAACAATGAAAAATACTCATCTGCACACTGTAGTATTTATTCACAGTTTCAAGAAGTGAGAAAAGAATACAAAATGTGCTTTTCTAGCAAAGCATTACATTATATACATTATTACATTATTTACATAAAACATCTCGTGGTAAGAGCTGCTGCGTGAAGATGGTAATGGAAGGGTAAGGTTGCAGTATTTTGTCACATTACAGCTCATTTTGCTTGGGCACATGTTTAGCAGCTAATTGCATTATTCCACCCACACAATAAATAAATGAATTAATTAATTAATAAAGTAACAAAGAAATTAGTAAAAGTTAATGGGGTTCTGGCATACTGCAGATAACTGAAATTAGCAGATATGAGAATGTGATTGTAATCTGAAATCTATATGTTTGTATTGTAGTCGTCTGCTATCTGTATATGCTAGTATGTGTTTCAGTTGTTTTCCATATTATCACTTTTTGTGTAAATTGAATGTCTGAATGAGGAAAATTATTAAATGCTATGTAATATGTGTCAGAACTTAGTAGTAGCAGAATTTTCGTACAGTATCTATGTATCACTACTTAACAATAATCTTATTTCACAAAAGCTCATTTTATTATTATTCAGGTGGAGGAGATTAGTAAAAGTCGATGTGTTACAGCTTCAGGCCTCAATAAGAATGCTAAGAATCCATTTTTTTAGCTATTTGAGCCATTCACATTTCATTTTAATGATAGAAACCATGTTATTTTGAGGTTTGGTTTACATGCCTTTTCATCTAGGATCTGGTGCAGGTTTTCATTAACTGTACCATGAAGATGCACATTGTCAACATTTAGTGGTTCTCTTGACATTGGTGTGTTGTTAATGTTACATGCTGCTGGTTTTTGTCATTTCCTTTAGAGAATTTATATGGAATGCAATGCCTTAGATGTTCTTTATTTGGTAGACAATTTATTTGGTTGTCATCTTCAAACAACTGACTATAAGTTGTGAATTTATTTTAGTACAGTTAAAGCATTCTAAACATGATACATCGAAATGATAATAACCTACTAGTTATTGAAGGAGAAATTTCTCAATGGAAAAAATTCCAGAAAATATATAATATTTCAAATGACCTGGTGCTAGGATCTCTCTTTTTAAAACCATTTTTCATTACGCCGTAAGTCTTATATTTGAAAACTAGGTTTAGGTTATCAGCCAGAACTTGTGATTTTGGTGTCATTATCATTCTACAGTATAAACAGATATGTATTTTAAAACTAAAATTATGTGCTGAAATATAGCAGTAATTACCTGTAGATATATGAATTCGGTAGGCCAGGTCGTTTTCTGAAGGGTTTATTGAAACACTAGCTTTCATTTTTGTTGAAATATGAATAAAAAAGGCATTTTTTAAGCAATAGCTTTTGGAAATAAAATATTTCTCTTAATTTAAAATTTTGACTTTTTTTTTTTATTTTCTTCCCATACTAGTTATCTTCTTTTTTAAATTCTTAACTTTATTATTTGCAGGTAAGAAACTGCTCTTCTTTTAAACATTTGTAAGTTTCTTCTAGTGAATGTATGAAATGCTTTCTGTACTATTTCAAATAAGTTCCAAGTATGATTTCTCTCAGATAAGTTCCAATATGATTTATCATGTCTGGCATCATCAGAAAAGAACATAACTAGTATGGAAAAAAAAAAAAAAAAAAAAATCTAAATGCTTTTATATTTTACATTACACTCAAAGGGACTTTTTTTTAACCTTTTCTGTGTCACTTATTAAATATCATGTTCTTCACACTTAAGCCATAAAATTAAATTCAACAGCAATATTGCAAAATAATTTTAAAATAAGCAATTCTTTAGAATTTCCGATACACAGTGTCGTGCACTGGAAGTAAAAATGTGTTTTTTCTGTGAAATTTTGCCATTGCTCGCTTTGAAATCGTTGAGTTTGTTAATAAAAAATTTATTGAAGTGTTACAAAATATGAAATCAATAATATAACGAATTCCAAATAGGGCTTCCAGATGCCCATATTCGGCGGAAGATTACGCTATTCAAAATTTGATGGCTCTAGGCACCATTGTTTTATCACAAAGCAAGAAACATACATACATTTATGCAGATTCTTCATTATTTAATTTCTTTAACTATAACACAGAGTGATAGTATTTGGTGGCAACAATTTGAAAAGTGAACCGACATTTAAAGTTTTCAACTCAAAATGCCAAAACGAAATTATTAGCCCTTCTGGCCTAAAATGCCCTTTGGGCTGAAAAAGACTTGAAGTTTTACAAAATTTGAAATAAAGAATAAAACAAATTTGAAATTCAAAATTTGATTTTCCAAGTGCTTATATTCGGTAGGAGGACTACATTATTCAAAATTTGGTAGCTCTAGGTCTATTGTTTTTCACAACGTGAGAAACATTCATGCAGATTATTTAGTTTCTCTATAATACTACATGGTGGTATATTTGGTGGCAACAGTTTGAAAAGTGAACCAATGCAGAAAGTGAACCGATGCAAAATGTCCTTTTGAGACTGATAGCCCTTTGGGTTTTACACCCCTTTGGGCTAAAAAGTCAAAATTTGTAGGTGAGAAGAATATTTTATTGCTATAAAATAAATTGCGTGAAAAATGTATTTTTTATTTCAACAAAAGTGGAAGTTAGTGTTTAAACAAACCATTTCAAAGCTATTTGTGTACGAAATGGAATGCTGTTATGAAAGACTGTTAACCTTTTTACTGTTGGTAAAGGAAGAGTGAACTTTTCTTTTAGAATACAGAACATCACTATATGCCAAAGTACTTTTTAAACATGTTATCCAAATATATGGAGTTCTGCATTTATTATTTAAACTTTAATTTTTGCTTGTATAAACAGGAAATTCTAATTTTTATAATAAGAATCAAAATAAGACAAAAGTGCTAGTAATGATTAAATGTATACATCAAAAATAATTTTATGCATTAATGAAGCAGAAAACCTAAAAAGGGTAAAAGATAATTTCATATTATAGCTGCTGAATCCTGAGGAATACATTAACTAATAGTATTGCATTTTACATTCACAAAATAAAATTAGCAAATAATACTCATAGCAGCAGTTTAACACTCGAATCACAATTTAACAGTGTCACAGCATTCTAATAAGAATTTTAAAAAATTCAAATGAAATATTCCATTCCAGCATGTCAAATATGGTATGGTGGGCTTACTGGAAAGGAGGAGGGGAAAAAAAACAGTGCAGCATATCAAATTTGATATGCTAGGTTTCTTACATATTTTGTAAGTTAAGGGCAGGGTGGTGAGCATACAAAGTAATTTCTGTAATTGGATACTGGATGTATTTATTGGTGCTCTGCAGATTTAGCTACTTATTTCTACTGAAATGGGTCATCGTGATTTTTGGCAAATACTGTAGATTTAGTTAATAATGTTGAAGCATTTTGGTTCCATCAAGTCAAGGCATTTTTGAGTTATACAATCGTTTTAAAATTATAATTCCTTTTAAAAACTGTTTATGCATTCTCAGGTTTGATAAAAGATTTATTTATAAAGACTATTCTTATCTCATACCTTATGTATAGTTTAATCTTTGTTCTCAAAATAAAAAATAACTCTTGTGTTTACCTTAAATTTAATTAATCATATTTCATGATTTTTTTAAACCTGTATTTTTCCCATGAAATAAAAATTTTATTGATCAGTTATGCTGGCTAGCAAAATGGGCCTTAGAAATTATACATACTTTTTAATATGTATGTTTCGCAGATTTTAAAACTGTTATCAGTTTTACTCTGCGAGCTGTAATTTTAATAAAGTACAAAGTCCGCAATGCGGACTCGTCAGGACTTCAGAGATTCCGGATATTAGGTTTTTTTTGGATATTAGATCATCACTTTAAATCAAATAAGATGGCATGGAGAAATTATAAAATTAAAAAATATGAAATTGGGATTTATGAAATAATGAAACATTTATGATCAAGGGTATAAAAATGGCATCGCTGCGTGTCATTTCTTGAGTTTTCATGTGTTGATAAACATACGGTGATGAAAGTGAAATATAATATAAATTGATTTGCCAAGTTGGGCATCAGGGATATAAAATATTAGTAGTTGTAAAATCAATGATGTTTCTATGTAGAATTTTTCGTTTTCAGATGTATGCCAAGCAGATACACAGCTATGAAGCCAAACTATTGATCACACAGATTTATGATAAGTTATTGTTTCTTCAATAATGAGGTATTTATTTAGTATTGAAGGGAAATCAAGAATCGGGCCTCTCAACATGTTTTATATGGGGGGGGAATCAAATGTTTTATGCGTAGAGCATTAAAAAAAAAAGTTGGTAGTGGTTTTGAGGTCTGGATTTTAGATCATTCTGGATATTGGATGTCCGGATCTTGGACTTTGTTTAGCATGACCATCTTATCTATAGATTGAACTGAATATGTACTACTTACTGAAAGTTACAATGCCCAATATAAAAATATTACAGTATATAATATTTTCGTGGGTTTTTGTCCCCCACTCCAATTCTGGTTATTGAAAAATTTGGAACTACTCTTATATGTGCCTTCAGGTCATCAAATGCGGCGACAAATTTCTCGCCAAACATTTTTGGCGAGAAACTCCATGCCACCATATTACTATCTAAATTTTTTGTCTACATTTTGAACTTTTATCCTAAAATGTCTGCAAAAACCATGTTTTGAGCACACAATTTAAGCTAAAAATCCGAAACAAAAACAAAAAATTTAGATAGCAAAAACGTAAAGTTTCTAACCAAAAATTTTAGACAAGAATTCATGTAGACAGTGATATGTTTTAATTTAAAAAAAATCACAGAATTGCACAATCTGTACAGCAAAGGAATCTACAAACTACGCACACCTAGCTTAAATAAATTAACATAAGAACATTAAATTTCAAAGAATACCATGTACACAACTTTCTGTTTAAACTTAAAAAAAGCATCTATGAATTGCACAATCTAGGCAGCGAAGGAATTTACGAACTATGCACACCTTGCTTTAATAAATTAACATAACGACAATAAATTTCAAGAATACCGTGTACACAACATTCTGTTTAAACCTTAAAAAACATCTACGAATTACACAATCTAGGCATTGCGCACTAATCAACAAAATGAACTAAAATAAATTTCAAACAATTAAAGAAACAACAATAACGACAGAAACTCATACTAAAACAACAATGAACATAACATTCTACTAAATAAGAACAAGAATAAAACAAAATTCACTTACCATAAATAAATGCTTCTTCGAACAGCAGAAATACCAATTTCAAACATCACCAAAACAAGTTCACCACAAATTTGTTAAAAGCATCTTCTCCCATTTCAGAACAACAATAGAAAAGTGTATAAAACTCCAAACCGCATTTTCGATTATAAGTTGACAACGTCGCTTTAACACGCCACCACGTAATCTCTGTTGTATTTATATGACAGCCAGACTCACTATCCGCAAAATTGATACTATGTTTCACAAATAAATGTTCAAAACCTTCTTCTCCTAAATACTTGTAGAATTTCCAGCCACTCAAAAAAATAGTTGTACCAGGTATGCAGCTAAAATTTTGCCAACACGTCATAAATTACTTAATTACCACACAAACCAACTAGCAAATCCAAGTTTCCATGGGAAAAGGGTTGCCATAGAAACCAACATCGCCCACAAAACCATCGCAGTACAGAACACGCAGTCGTGCCAAAAACCAGCACACATCACATTTGGCAACCTTAGGGCGCATATGAGAGTAGAGCCAAAACTTTAATTAGAAGTCATGAGTAATTCACAAAATAATCATAGGATCTTTGAAGAATAATTTGTGTTCAGTTCATAAATATGTATTCAGTTATCATAATTCCTTCATAGTGTGAATTTGTATATTATGATTTTAACATTTACTGTTTGATTTCTTGATTATCTTGCTAATTTTAATTTTTAATTAATAAATATTTTAGGGTTATGCACTTGTAGAATATGAAACCTTCAGTGAAGCTCAGTCAGCATTAGAAAATTTGAATGGAAGCACATTACTTGGACAACAAATCAGTGTTGATTGGGCATTTGTGAAAGGCCCTACTAAAAAGTACATATTTTTAATATTTATAATTACTTAAAACATGTTATATATGGATTTTTAGAAAGGTTATGTGTAATGCTGTCTTTCCATATTATAATGATTTAGTTTTGGCTTTTACTTATGACAGATGAATTACCAAAAATTGCTCATCAAAAGTTATGTTTGTGTAATTTTAATATTTTTGAAATATAATAGAAATTCAAAATATTAATTGGATATAAAATACCAGAATGTAAATAACATCTCCAAGTTTCTTCAAGCATTATTCTTTTTTGTACATATAGCTGTATAACTGGAGATCTTTAACAATAGTTCTCATAGCAGATATCCAGCATTATATTCTCATAATGTTTCAGCATTGAAAGTTAAAAGAAAAATTTAATGGTGACATATGTGTAAAAAGCAGACTATACATTGAACAAGAAAATAAAATATCATCAAAATCTAGTTTTATAATAATGCTACAAACACATTTTCATACATCAAGTTATTGAAAAAATTGTCTTGATAATATTTCATTTCACAGATAACAGCTATGTCTCACTTTTCGTCACCAAGTTGATTTTTCTTGATTTAGTTAACAAGTTATTTTTATATGAAATGTTTTCTGTGAATTCTATTTCTTCCAACAATCTTATCAGAATGCAAACTGTGTGGATTTTAAATAGTGGGCTAATATGTAGTTTAGGGAAAAGTTTGTGGAAAGAATTTTATTTAAGCCATGACTTTGTTTTGCTGAGAAATGCAAATAATTACAGCCAATATATTTATATCTTTTCATTTAATCTTTCCATGTTAGTTATGTATGTTTATACAGAAAAATGTAATTGTGAAGAAAAAAATCTTTTATTTTTAAATCTAAGATTACTAAAAATCCATTTTTTATGTTACTGTTTTACTTTATACACTACATATTAAACTGTTAAAGGGGAGGGGGAATTGCATAGAAATTACTTTTATGTGCAGGTTTTTCAGGCTGTACTATATATAAAAGATTTAAAAAATGTGGAAAACATTGCTATGTAAGTGGATTCTGTTGGATTATTATGATAAATGCTTCATTTCAGTCATTTGTTTCTACCCCAAAAATATATACTTATATTAAGAATGAGCATTGTATGTACAGCATGAATAGAGAAAAGAATCACAGTTTTTGAATATTTGTACTAGCTTTGTTTGTTTTAGAAAATCAGTAATAATATTCAAAAAGGTAAAACTTGCCTTTATTTTTCTTCATGGACCTCTGATGAGGAAATTCTTAAAGTTACTCCAGGAATAGAATGCATTAATCCAGACTTATAACAAAGACAATAACATATTTTATTACTATTTACAAAGAATTTAAATGCTAGAAAGAGATTAATTACAAATACGGTAAACGGTGCTCATTTTTGCTTCTGTTTGTTAGTGAATCTACTGTCTGCCTGTTTCTTTTTTGTCTCTAGTTCACTTCAGTTTGTAATGGATGAAAACTGTCAGAGGCTTGCTCAGCACACCTTTAGTTCTGGAGGAACTCAAACTATTGTCGCACATGTCACAACTGCAGTCTATGAACAGATTTCACAATTCATTGACTCCAAGTAACTGTAACTTGAGCTGAAGATTCTGATTGTTCTAGTGGATCATGACTACTAGGGTCATCAATTTTAGTCTTTGTCTTACAGTCATTATGGTCTTTGTATCACAAAATTGGACATTCAGGCTCATCTGGCAGTTCTAATGGATAAACAAATTGTATACATCTTGTGATGATGCCAAATTTTGTTTTCAATTTTATAGTTCTGATAGCTGATAGTACCATCTTTTCCTAGTAGGACTTTGACAACTCGTGCTATTGATCGTAGCAGATGCTTCAGGTTATAAAAAATAATGAGTAATATATATATATATATATATATAATAATTTATTTCCTAAACAGTATTGATTAATTGATTATATTATCTCCTAAGTTTAATTAAAGTAGAATTATTTTAAAAGTGTGCATCCATACTGGTAAGTTATATTTTGAAAGATGTTTTGAAGTAATTTGAAAGCAAAATGTTAATAATGTTTTAACGGGGACTGGAGTTAAATCATCACGAAGAATAATATTACAATTATAAAAGTAAAAATTAAAACATGTAATTATTGTTATTGATCGGAAATTAGTTGACTTTTCAAGGGGAACAAACCAACTCCCGTTCAATGATCAATAATTGATAAAAATACGTAAATATGAAAGTGTTTCGTCTTTACTCGAGTTATAAGTTAAAGCCAAACCGGCAATTCTAGTCAGGCCAATATTTCCGCGAATAGAAGGGATTGTTACTCAAAGAACTTATTCTCATGAAGCATTTTAGTCAATTCAATTTGGAGTAAAAAATCAATTACTGTAGAGAAATCCTGTAAAAACTCGAGTAACCGTCCCCGACACTATCATCTTTATGTATTTGAGTACTATATTATTTGTGGAAATTAAACATTGGAAATTGTCATTATGAAATCGAAATCAAAGTAAAGTTGAAATAAACATAGAAGATTATAAAAAAGATAAATAATGCAAACTTTGTAAAAACAAATCAAAGAGAACATAAAAATAATATAAAATAATATAAAAATAAAATAGAAAATAATATAAATAAGATCAGTGAATGTACATGAAGATATAAAGGCCAGAAAGGTATTAAGTAACTTACATTCTTTCTAGTGGGGGAGTTGGCGATGTGTTCTCTTCGTGTCTGCCTCAGAAGTGTAGGGTGTCCGAAAATTCTTAGCGGCAGTAGGGGCTTTGAATTATATCAGTCGGTAAGACTTGGGTGAAGAAATTTATGGTAGTGGGTGGGACTTGGAATTCTTGAGGGATGTATTTTGTGGAGTTCTTATCTGAGAGAGACCGTCTGTTAAGATTTTTTTAAAAATACTAGTGAATGGAAATTAATTAATTTTTGGCTAATTGTCGTGTCGCAATGATTAAGAATTTAAGAAAGGAAAAAGGCATTTTCGCTGTCCAAGAGCTAGTAGACAGTCTAAAGGCAGGAAATAGGCCCATTTTTTTAGTAACAGTATAGTAACAGTATATGTCTGAAGACAATTAGGTTTTTACAATATATACAATTGAGTAATTACACTATATACAAATCTTTCAACTGACAGTCATCCAACTTATACCGCCTTCTCAGGTTTAGGAATAAATTATCATATCCCTATCAGTTAAATAATTTAGAGTGAGTATTTAACGCCTGCTCTTTTAAGGCAATGGTTGATAAATTGAAAGGGAATTAGATTATTTTTGAGAATTTTGATAAGGATCAAAATTTCGCGTTGTAAATCTATTGTATCTGTGCATATAGTTTTTAATTCGTTGTATTTGATTAATTATAGTATTGTTAATTACTTTTTTGGATATGTTGGAGTTCCAATTTATTAATTTGTTAGTATTGAAATTGAAGTTTCTTGTTTTGTCAAAAAGTAAAATTTTTTTGTAGTTAATGATTTGAAGATCTAGAAAGTCTATGCTATTTTGTGAATTATTAGTTTTATTAAGTTTAAGACAATTCGGATAAATGTCGGAGTTTTCAATTTTACCAAAATAATAATTGTAATAAGGTCATCAATAAATCTGTAGGTGTGTTTGTAGTAATTTAACTCTTGTGGTTGTAGATTTTTTTGGAAGTTAAATTCTTTGATAAATAAAAAGATATTACAGATCGAGGTGCTGGAATGTAAGCCCATTGGCAATCCTCTGACTTGTTTAAAAAGTTGATTTTGAAACTTGATGTAGTTATGAAAAAGTGTGCATTTTAGGTAGGTTTTCCATTTCTCAAGAGTCATGATATTGAGTATATTAGGGAAAAGTTTTGGTAGATCAAGTAGACTGGTATAGATTTCTTCTAGAGGAAGTGAGGTATATAAGTTTTCAAAATCATAACAGTTAATGTTTTGGATGTTAATGGTATGAATGGTATTAATGACAGGAGTGTTATTATGAATGATCCAGCAATAGTTATGATTAGTGTTACAATCATTGAAAATAAATTTACAGATTTTATTAAGTTGAATTGAAAAATAATAGTCTATATTTTTCTTGTAATTATTAGTTCCATTAGCTATAAATCTAAATTTTAATGGTGTTTTATATATATATATATATATATGATTTGAAAATCTTTAGAAAAAGATTAGCATGTTTTAGATGGCTAAGATATTCTAGTCGAAATCTTTTTCGTAGATCTCCACATATTTTTGCAGGTACACATGTCTTTTATTCATGTAAGAGGCATCAATGTTGTCAATATCCGGTACTCTACTTTCTTTGTTTCCCTAGTAGGAACATTGAAGGTGAGAGAACAATTAAGTCATTAACATCTTCAGTCAAAGATTGTGAGTTTATCAGACTTTCAGTATCACACAATACTGTGTTCAGTTCTTCATAATTAAAGGAAGCTTGACCTAATACTCTGCACAAAATTTGTTTGAAAATGACAATCAATCGCTCCCACTAACTGTCCGCGGAGACCTGATGGTGGAAAGAATTTCCATGTTATTCTTTCATCATTGTAGATTCAGCCTCTGTTTTCTTCCAGTTTACTTTGAAAAGTTCTTTATGAGCTTTCACGAAATTGCTTCCATTATCAGAATAAATAGGTCGGTCTATCTCTGCGTATTATAAATTTTCTCAATGAGAGCCAGAAGGCTTCTGCTTTTAAAGATGTTATTAGCTCCATATGCACTGTACAATGTGCAGCACAAGTGAATAGAACGATCCAGGCCTTTATTTTTACTCTCAAATACAGTAGTCCTGCGAGATTCACACCTATGACTTCGAATACTATAGTGTCTTTCACTCAGTCTTCAGGCAAGAAAGTAGCTTTCAGTTCTGGGTGAGTTGTAGTGAATCATCTGTATCAAACACACGTAAGAAAAACTTGTAAAATCATTTTGAGATTTTGTAAAATCCAATAACATACATACAGTATATGGCATATGTTTATATGCAATGAGCATATACACAGTTCTACACTTTGATGGCCATATTACTATTATTAATCGAAAATTTTTCATATCTTTTCTCCTGAAAATCTGTGTTTGAACTCTCATTAATCCCTTTTTGTCAAGTACTAAATGAAGAGGTTTTCCTGATTGTTTATTCCATCAGGAAATTCATGTTAAACAGTTTTTCAGAGGGTGAGTTCAGTTTGGCTAATTTCTTTTACAGCTCGTAAGAGCATGATGATGCTTTAGATATCAAGTTAAAATAAAATCTAAAAATCCTCGCAAATATTCTATTGTGTTTTCTATACGATAAAAAAGTATGGAGGATTTCTTCAATTTTATACACTTTAATGAGTTTTTGTTATACTTTTTCTCATTTCTTGAGTTATATCTTCATGATTATAAACCAACTTTGATTTTTGCCATTTTTCTTGAATTTTCTTGAGTCAGTTTGAGCTCTCCCACCATCTAGCCAAACAATGTTTGGCAGTGCAACCTCTTGATGGAAGGTTAGCTGAGTTTTTTATACCAAAAATATGTTTCTGTGCATTAAAATCTGTCACTTTCCTAATTTCCTTTATTGTTTTCTTCTGGATCCATGACAAAAGTGTTGTAGAATCTGTCCAAAACTGCATTTTAACATTTTGTCATTGTAAAAGATCTGAAACAGAAGATCATAATCTGGTTCCTATCTTGGCAATCAGTAATTCCATATAAGGAATCATGTAGACTTACCAGGAACTACTTTAGACTTCAGTGCTAATAAATGAACTTTCAGAAATCTCAGTTCTTAAGAAAACTGCAGCAGCATATGCATCAGAGAAAGTGTGAATGCTAAAAAAGTTTTTATTGCCCTTGTTGTAATGTATCCATCGTAGCACGGAGATTTCTTTTAACAGAAAAAGACCTTTACACCAATTCAGAAAGTTTTCTTTTGTGGTCTTGTCAACTTCAGTATCCCAAGAAATTCCTGCTTTCTGTAGGTTCTGCAATAATATTTTAGGATACAAGAAAACAGAACTCGCAAGCCCAACAGGAACAAATATTTTTTGTTTTACAGTAAGAGTTGTTCTCTTTGTTATTCCATACATTTTGAAATTGTCCAGCCAATTCAGATTCAAAGTTAAGTTGCCTTTCTGACAGTTCCATAACAGGCCAAATATGGGTGAAATACAATCTTTTTTAAGGTATCCTTTTTCTTTTTTTTTTTTTTTTAAGGTTTCTAACTAGTTTTAAAGATTAGCTTTTTTTTTTTCAGACATTATATCTCAAGATTTTTGAATGAATTCAATTATCTCTGATTCATTATCAGAATTGGCAACAATGTTATCTATGTGGTAACTATGCAGAAGTTAAGCTATCATCTCCGTATCATAAAAATCATTCATGTACTGGGATGAATTCTGTAAGAGCTGCCAAAAGGAAATGGCTACTCTTGACACCAAAGAATACTCTAGTATGACGAAATATATTCCTTTTTCATTCCATGAAAAAATCGAAACCAGTCTCAATCTTGAGGCTTTACACTGACTGATCTGTAAAAAAGCCTTTTCAGTGTCTGTTATAGTAGCAAATTTGCCTTCCCAAAATCTCATCAGAAGAGAAGGAATTAGCTCTCTCAAATGTGGATCACACTCCAAACACCGATTTGGAGAGGGAGACAATTTTGCTTCCGCAGATGCATCAAACTTCAGTTAAATTGGCATTGAGCTAGTTTCTTAATCATCAGTGTATGCGGCTAATAGTCAGTAGCTAAATTTTCTTTAAGGTTCTTCAGTTACCCCTAAATTACACTATTAAATCACTGCACTAGGATAGTGAAATGAAAAATTTTATCCACAATTGTTTCTTCTGAAACTGTCACAATTTCTGTATGAATGGTTAATCCTTCTCATATAGCTTATAAAATAACTGATCCTATCCTTGCAGTTTTACATTGAAGACTGCAGGAAATGTATAATAATATCTCCATTTAAGACCTTGATTGAATTGCCATTAGTTTAGTTGATAATCCTGCTTTTGATAGGAAAGAGGTCACATTTACTTGCTGTTATGATTTTTTCCTGTTTCTGAAGACTTAAAGCAAAACTGCTAAACCAGTGGTACAACCTAAGTTCAAATTTTGGCAGACAGGTTGGCTACATGATTTTTCCCATGTGCATTATAAATACAAACTAGTTTTCCTTAAAAAGTCTTCCATAATGGCATCCATTCCTTTAACTAGATAGCTTGTGTTTTGCCATAATTTAAATAATCCTGTTTGCAGACGTTTTTTTCTCATTCCCAAACCTCAATTTTTTAAAATTTTGAATAGTAGCTGGGCGGATTAGGACCAATGAGCCATATGTTGGCAACTCTTTTATTTAATGTGGGTAAATATTCTTATAGGTTAGTTTTTTTATTACATATGTGTGATTTTTTTAGTATGATACATTTATATTTTTATGTCTTCGTAGGAAACGTGGACATCGTAGAAGATCTCCTGATCGAAGGCGGCGCTGATTACACATTTTAATTGCATTCATTGTGTTTTTTTTTTTTTTTTTCATTTCCATTAATGTACAGTTTCTATGTTTGAAATAAACTTTTTTGATTTCGAAAGTGGTATGAACTGTAACATAGTAAATTGTCAACATATGCATTTTTAGATAAAAATTAAGCTATAACATCTGGTTTTATACTTTTTAAATGCATATAAATTTATGCTTATACATTCATGCACACATATATATATACACTAAACACAGTTTATGTGCAACTGTTTGGAACAAATGCAGATGAATAAACATAACTTTAAAATGTCCACATGTATTTTTTAAGTACATACATTCCTTTATTTTGTTTTATATTTGATATTATTTTAGTATTCCTGTTCAAAAATAAATGGTTAAAATGGTAAGCAAAAGAGATAAATGCACATGAAACTGTAATAAATATGAAATGTAAGATTTTAAACATAATTTATTATTATTGAATGCTTGAAATATGTTTGAAACATTGAAGAAAAATTAGTAAAAGTTTTATCTTCTATTTAATTTTATTGTTCTGTTCATCAGTTGACTATTAGGATTGATACATTTCAAGTGAACGAATGAACTGCGCTTTTTAATGAAGAAAGGATTTTTTTCCTTCAAAATGGCTGTGTGTAAATTTTCTGATGGAAGAATATATTTGTATGATAAATCTGTCTGAAGAATGTGATCAGGATAGATTTTCACATTTTTAATTATGTGGAAAAAATATTATATATCCATATTTTTTATTAAAATCTGCTGTATTTAACAGTTAAGCCGCTTACCTTTATCAGTAGAATTTTTTTTTCTTTTGTGTGTGAATCATTAATAGTAGTTGAATAATAGTGTAGTTTATTAGAATTAATATGCTCATTATTTAGAATCAGCTGAAGTGTGCGGCATTGCTTACTCTGTAACAGAGTGAAGAGGCTTCATTTAGACGGAGAGGGTTAATTATGTAGACAGTGATTTTTCTCTTATTTTGGTTCAATGTGAAAAATTTTACCTAGGTCAGATAAAATTTAGGTGTTATTCAGATAGAAAACAAGAATTAGTTTCTTTGTACTTTTTTTAGCAAAGCTTGAAAGTACATAGTGTTTCTCATTTGCCCAGCTTGAACATAAACAAACAAACTATCTGGTATGCCAATTTTGAGCAAGCCACGTATAATGCGAAAAATATGGTGCTTCCAAGTTAATACCTGCCACACAAAGTGATTGCGTGTGTACCTTGTTGGTAACCATAGAAATGCAAACGTAATAGAAAACTGCAAATCCTTAAGATCAAAGGGCACATTTGAATCTCTAGGTATGAACAGAATGAATGTATCTTCAACTGTGGCATACCCAGTGAATATGGTGGCCTCTATTATGTTCAGCAATAGATTCTTCACAGTGAGCCTTTGTTCCATTCCACAACTTTAGGAGATCAATGTTATATAATAATGATAGGAGATCCTTTATTTGAAAGTGAGCTTGTGACAGTATTCCTAGGGGCTCAAAGAGCATTTAAAAAATATGTCAGAGCAATGTACAGCTTGTTGTATATCTATTATTGGATCTGTGGCTGAAAAGGCGATAATGCTGCCATTATGGATACACTAATGCAACTATGAGTTATTGAAGAGTTTTGCTTTGTTATTCTTTTTGTCATTTTTCAGAAAATAACCATTCACTTTGGCCAATTTCTTCATGATTTTTTAAATATTTGTAAGAAACCAATTCAGTATGCACTTAAATTCTGCTTTAAATGTTCTACACAGTTCTAAAATGTAAAGAAACATATCGCCATCTCACGATTTTAGTTAGAACTGAGAGTAGGTACACAACATGGCAATGTGATTTCAAAATTGAAACTATGTAGAAAAATTTATATTTATTTTTTGTTAAAAAACTAATTATGAATTCCTTCCATAGCATGTATGACTTCCACTGATAGTGGGAATACAGACCAGTCAGTTATGATATGTGTGTAAGATGAATGTTGGAAATGTGCCGTTCTAATATAAACGCCCTGAGTTTGGATCTGGTGGGGTGGTTTCGAAAACTTCGTAGGTAAACAGTGACCTTCTTGTTTTGAAGGTCAAGCGTGCAAAATTTTATCAAGATCAGAATAGAAGTGTAAATTTATATGAAATGGCACACACACACAAACGGACATTCTTCGTTATATATGTACATGATTGTAATGTAATTTCATTTTCCCAGCCAGTAATTAATAATAACTGAAATGAATCTGCATTTATTGCTTAGTTAATAGTAGAACAAATTTAAAAGAAAAATGAGATATTTAACACTTTGCTGAATGATAACATACTTAAAAAATATTTTAATTTGGGCACTGGCAACACACTTCTTTTAGATTCATGAATTTATTTATTCTGTTCTTTGTTTCTAAAGGCAAATATATTACGTTTCCCCAAGTAGCAACACACTTCTTTTATATTGCCAAGTTTTCTGATTAAATTGAAACATTAATCTCTCACACTTTGCAGAGTACACAAAGCTTTTAAATCGCAGAGTTTTTAATCAGAAGGTTTTTAAATTAGCATAAAATATGTATATACATAAAAAGTACAGATCCTGTATCTTTGAGAAAATCTTATGTAAACAGTAACATTCCTTTTGTTTTGACAGTTAAGTGTGTAAAATTTCATCAAGATTGGAATAGGAGTGTAGATTGGTATGAAAGACAATGCGTGGACACTCTTCTTCATTTATATAAAAGCTATGTTTTAGGTGGGTTATTAAAAAGTAAATATCTTTTAAATTTACTTTTTATGTAACAAAAATTCATTATATGTACTATATAGGAATTTCAATATGAGCATTTTAAAGTTCCAAGTTAATCATATTAATCATGGAGGTAGGAAAGGGAGGAGGGGCCATTCTGCGCTAGAAGTGAAGCACTGCTTTGAAGCTTGGGTCACCAGACGGGGTGTTTCTTTGTTTACATTCAGAAGCTCGCTTGACAAGATTCTGATAGTATTTCGACACACGACAGTTCCATAGAAATCGAAAAAGGGACACTCTCGCATGAAAGAAACATTCATAGTGTGATGGATAATAGCAATTTGTATAGTTTACTGACATTTACGCAAAAATCACATCTTGATTATTTTTCGATAACTAACAACAGCGATTTTGATTATGAATTTGTTTTATAAAATTCTAAGCTGTTGCAACTACAAAAAATAGATTTTAAGAAAAATGTTATGCTTAAAAGAAAAATACCTTACGGTACATTTAAAATTGGTATACGTCTTTCAATACCTTGATAGAGTATTCGCTACTTTTTTTTATTTTCCCAAACGTCAAAATGTTTTAAATAAAACAAATTTTTTTTCACATCCATCTATTTTGTAACATGGTACCTTTTAAATTTTTTTAGAGAAGAGCTTTACTGCTGCTCATTTTAAACCCATCGTTTTAATTTTATATATCTGAAAAATAATCACTTGGGCTTACACGTTTTACTTATTTGGGTTAATTAAAAATAATTACCATCAAATGCTGCTGCAATCCTTGTCAAATTAATAAAATACACGACAAGTTAGCTTTCCCTTATTTGGAACCCACATTTGTGTAAAGTTATGTACAGTTTTACCAAATGTGTGGAACAGAAGAGGGATACATTTGCGAATTTGGCGGAAGTACCATGTGCGGTCAAGATGATGTGACCATGCGAACGTGCTACATCATCAAGACAGCTTATTCAGAATTTGAAAATAGGGTAATCGGGGTGAAACATTTGTATATCCTGCCAAAGGAGGTCAGATCATGACTGGTCCTCTTATTGATTTCCAGATTGTTAAATGTTTCCCACGCAGTCTTTTTTTTCTCTTTTTTCTTGGAAATTCGAGTTTTATGCTGGCTGGCTTCTTAACGTACGCAGGTCTCATTCATAGACAAGGAATGGCTAACTGGAGCATTTTACAAATTTGCTCTCAGTATCGTAATTAAAAAGTGCAAATTTTTCGAGTCTCAATTACTCTCTCCTGAATTAAGATTTCTCTGACAAATTGAGAACCAGTGACAGCAAAGGAATTGATACTGATACCGTGTATTAAAGAGTATTCAGCATGGGAGCTTGCTGTGCTTATGGGTGCACAAACAGATCTTCAAAGCCGATTCCAGGGCATAACATTTCACAGGTCAGCAAAGTTTTTTTCATTTTTATTATATGATAGTTTTATTAATTAAGAATATGACGGATAAAATGAATGAAATAACTTAATAGCCGTGTGGTAATATTTTCGAACTACCCTTTGGCATTTAACGTTTATATTGAAAATCATGTATATTTTTCATTTAAAAATTATAGCTTTTTTTTTGCCTTTTATGTACTATACATTTAAACTTTTATTTATTTTAAACTAAAATTTCAGTAAGAAATAATTTCTTAAAACGAATTTATATTTTAAAAGCCCCATTCTTTTTTTTTTTTTTATTATTATTTAAGAGATTAAGTTTATTTTCCTATTTATTTAGATTTCCAAAAGAGAAAAAACGAAGAAAATTTGGGTTAAGCCCTTCGACGGAAAACTGGAATCCATCATCCAGTTCAAGAATTTGTTCCTGTCATTTTAAAGAAGAGATGTTTGACAGATCCATGAATCGTGTTCTTTTAAAGAATGATGCCGTCCCAACTATTTTTAAAGAATTCCCATCTTATTACCAAAATGTAAGTTCATAATTTTATAAAATTTAATGTTTCTCAAATTTATAGTTAAATTAAACACTGCATGCAATTTTCTAAATCACTGGTTCTGAACCAGTCGAAAATATTAAAAATATCCGAGTTAATATATTTAAATGCATTATAATAAAGTACAGTGCATTTTTATAATTATAAAATGTAATGAACCTCTCATGAGGATAAACCTTCCTAAGACTATGAAAAGCGATTCCTTTAGATATTTTTTTTCAGAAAATCTTTTAAAATAATATGGAAGACTAATTTAGTTACAGAGGGGCTATATACCAATTAGGAGGATGTTTTCGTGGAGGAGGCTGCCCTCAAATGTTATGTATATAATAGTTACTCTCTGTTAAAATGTTTTCCACAAAGGCATCCCTTCCGAAGCTGATAATCAATA